TCAGCTCATTTTAAAAAAAAATTTTATCCACATTATAAATAAAAAAAACATTATCTTTTCTATTCCCCCTTATCATTTAACCCTAAATTCATTCATTTTTTTAAAAAAAATTATCTAACACACTTTTATATTCTACTCAATTAACCAAAAAAGCGTTCCAAATTAATCAAAAATTATTACTTTTATTAACGATTTCAATTCTCTTTTATTCCTTCACGTTTTTATTCCAAACTTAAAGATAATATTGTTTATTATTATTCTATACTTTCAGCGCTACATTAGTTTTTTGTACTCATTAATTTAAAATTCTCGCTCATGTTAATTTATAATTTTGATTAATTCATCTTAACGCTCTACCAACACAATTCTAAAATTAAAAGTTTTATATAAAAGTCTTTCATTATCTTTATTATTATATACCTGTGTTGAATTTGATGGGGGATTTCTTAGAAATTTTAATGAGTATGGTCATAAATTATATATATTTTCTCTCTTTTTATTCGTTATCTCAGAGTCAAAATATTAAAGTATACATTTTTTAATATATAATTCTTTTTATTAATAAAAAAATTCTAACGTTCCTCGCCTTCTATTTTTTTTTCAATTCAGTTTTTTAAAAAATTATAAATATCCCATATATTATAATCATAATTTTAATTTTATTTCTTCTTTCAGATATATTTAGTTCTTTTCTTTATTAATAAAAAAAAATATTTTAATTAAATTTAATTAGTAATTATGTAAAAAAATATTATAATATCTAACTTCTTTTTGTTTGACCAAGACAAATTTTTGCAACAAGCAGCTAATGCCATAAAAAGCTCAAATCAATTCCATGTAAGATATTTTAAAATATATTTTATTTTTATTATTGGTTTTTAAAGTTACACAACAACCAAATATTTTCATCATTTGAATTTTTGCTTGACAATTAGAGTGTAATGTAATCTATATTTATTTTAAGCTAATCGGTTTAAGAGACTTTGGCTTATTTAAAAATTTTGCAAATTTCTGGCCATACCCGTAGAAAAATATCTTCACAAGCAATATTTTTCCCTAGTCTGTTATTCTGTCCCAACTCTAATTAGTTAATAAAACAAAATTATATGAATTAAAGGACAATTAAATAGAGGTTTATAATTTTTTTTCTAATTTTAAAGTTTTCACCAGACTATCAAACCAATAGTTAACAAATGATTTATTGCAGAATTAAAATCAGTTCGATACCGATTATATATACTTTTATAACAACCACCAATTGTTTTATTTTTACATTCGTCCTACCTAGTTTAAAAATGATTTAATAACCTTCTAATTCATATATATGTGCATTTTACAGCTAATCTTAAAGACATATTTTCAGTCAACATCCTATTATTGCAGCTAATTTGAAGTCAGGTGAAGTTAACATTTGTGATATGTCAACAGCAAGTTCACAGTCAAACGAGAAGACAACCCAAACAATTAAAATCGTCATAAGAAAATCGAAAGTATTTTATTACATACATTAAACAATAAATCACTATTAGCAATACTTTTGTTGGTAAGTCGTATAATTTAATTTTCCCGAATAATTTTTGATTCGGGTTTCATTTATTTTTTGGACTAATATATTACGCTCAGAATAAAACAAATCTGATTACTAAATAAATATATGAAAGGTATTTTTGAATCTGATTTGACCTGAAAGTTGAATTTTTAAGGGTTCTAAAATGATTATTTATTTTAAATATAATTAATTTTTTTTAAAAATTTAGGTTTCCGAATCGGTTGTGGAATTAATTGCCATTACTTGCCAATTAATTTAGTAACATAATGAATCATTCAGGCTATTATTAGATTCAATAGTTTAATCGTTAAATATGACTATAAACAAACACATCGTAATTGATAAAATAAAATATGCTATATCAGAAATAAGATGCCAGATAATGCAACAAGTAAAAAATAAGCTCATTTCTTTGAAGATGGATACGGCAACACGATTTTAAAAATAAGTGTTAGGAGTTAATGCCTAATTTATTATGGATGATAAGATTCAAATTCGAAATATAGGTTTTGTTAGTAATTGTAAAGATGCACACGGCGTCTAATTTAGAGGAAGAAATAAAAAATTTATTAAAAAAGTATAATATATGTTTGAACCAAATATACAGTATCACAGTTGACAATAGTGCCAATATGATTAAAACCGTTGAAATGATAGCTGAAGAACAGCTGATTACTCATTGATCTTTCTGAAGATGCCTTCTCAGAATATTTGTGCCAAATGAATGATATGAGTCTTCACAGGCATATAACGAGTCTTCGCAAACAATTAACGATTCTCAAATAAATGATATAGAGATCGCGCAGCAAAATGACAGCGTTATTTCGAATATACATGATAGTGATTCGTCTAAGGAGTACATTATATATGATCAATAAAATTAAGATACTGAGATAACCTAAATTCTCAGCACTATTATTAAGAAAAAGTAAATAATAATGATATGGATAATTTAATAAATGATCTAAGAAAATCATTTGTGTGCATTGTTGTGCCCTTACAATTCAATTAGGGGTTAATGATTTTATAAAGAGAAGAGGAGGACGTATGAAATAAGATCAATTCTTAAATTGTTTAAATCACAAAAATATAAAAATTTACATACACTAGAAAAAGTTAACAAACCAGTTTTGGACAATGTTACTAGGTGAAATAGCATCTATAGAATCTGAATAATAATAAAAACTTTTACATAAAAATGGGGCAGATATATTCGCAAACGTTAATTAATTCGCATTCAAACTAATCTCACGGTATTATCTCCAGTACTATAAAACTACAGAAAAGTCTTGCATCATAGGAGATTTTTTTAAATGGCTGGAATGTAAATTGAATTTGGAGGAAATCAACAATGAACTCTCTAATAATTTGCTTATGTGTTTGGATTGTCGGCAGAAATATCTGTTTAATAATAATGTATTTAGAAGTGGGATCTACATGAATCCGAGATTTAATTACCAAAATGGAATCTATCCATCCGAATATGATTAATTGCTGGCTAGGGTAAATTTATATTATTGAACTTTAAATTAAATAAATCTATTTTATTTTAGGACCATTTGATGTCTACATGGAGACAAATTCAAATGTTAGCCAAAAGATAACCCATCTCTGATGGCTATGCTATTCCTGTCAGTTGTAAAAAAACCAGGCTGGATATATATTTGGAGCGACAAAGCGCTAATGCTTCAGTATACCAAAATATTGAGAGCATGGATATCAAGACGATTTACGGTTTAATATATAGCCAAAAATTGCCATCCAATCAAAATATTCTGCAGTATTGGCAATCTAAAAATTTTAAGATCCTGAACTATACACCCTCTCGCTAGTAGTTCTACTAACTACTCCTTGCTCGCAAGTGTCTGTTGAAAGATCCTTCAGTGCGCTAGGACTGATAGTAACACCTTTACGAACCAGATTAGATAAATCTACTTTGAACGATATTTTATTAATCAAACTTAATAAAAATATATTAAACAACGTTTTATTTTATTTTTATTTATGTAAAATTTTTATTTGGATATTTGTAAATATTATATCATGTTTTATTTGAATAAATAAAATCATTTTAATGAAATTATTACAAGGTTAAAGGATACTAATTTTAAAATGACAATTAAGAAGCACAAAATAAAATTATTAAATATATAGGATGTATTACCCAAACTCTTGAAGTATTGAAAAAATCAAAATTAATTTACATATAATAGTTTTGAATACTGAAATTTTTAAAATAATTGGGGTCTGCATATAGTCCCACCTTTGCAATGAAGGGTTAATTTATTTTTTTCTTAAATCATGTTTTTGAGAATTTTATATAAATACAGTGATGTTAAAAAAGGCTCGATTTAAGTCGATTTTCAAAATCGGCTAAATTTAATAAAGAAAAATACTAAATATATTTGAAAGAAGAAATAAAATTATTTATAATAAATGGGGTAATAATTACTTTAAGGAAACTTAATTGAAAAAAATAAAGAAGGCGAGGAACATTAGAATTTTTTATTAATAAAAAGAATTATATATTATAAAAGTATATATTTTAATATTTGAGATAACGAATAAAAAGAGAAAATTTTATTTTATAGAATTTAAGTAAGGCCATACTTAGTGTTCGTCGACTTAGCCTAAATTCTAGTAAAGTTTTGAGTCGCAAAACTCATTTCAAATTGAGCGGCTCAGTGAGCCGCATGAACCGGCTAAAGTTTATTTTGAATCGGCCTGCTAATATTATTTACTCCACGATGAAAAGATTAAAAAAATATAACCACTTTGGTTCGGGAATTTAAATATTTTTAAATTCGAAATGACTTATGTTGATTATTTTAAGAATATGATTATGCTATTATTAATATTACCTGAACCTCTACATTTCGATGATAGATGTAACTTTTGTGCCATCTATGACCACAATCTTAAGGCTTACGTAATAATTATCTGGATATAATATTGAGTAGCCGTTTTTAAAAATCGACTCAAATCGAACAGTTTAACAATACAGCCAAAATCATCTATTTTCCAAAAGAAGTTTTATTTGGATAATACAATAATAAAGCCTCTTAAAATCTTAAAATTTGTAGCTAATTTCTCTCAAAAAACATAGAGGGGAAAAGTCACAAACAGTACTATAAAAAAAAGTATTTTAAAAGATATTGGGCAAAAATGCTTCATTAATTATATTTTATTTTAAATTAAAATTCACAACACACTACTACTATTTATAGGTGTATTTTTTAAAGTGAACATAAAGTAAAGAGAATTAGCTTTATAATATTAAATTTTTAAACTAAATTCGGAGTTATTTTATATTGTATTAGAAATTAGTTATTGTTTAATTGGGTTTAGGTATGTAATATATATAACACTAAAATTAAAAAATAAGAGTATAAATTTATTTTTATTTCAACATTATAAGCGTAATATAAAATTGTATGATATAACGAATAAAATTATATCCAATAATTATCCGTAAATGTTAAAATATTAAGGTCCCAAGAATTAAGGGAAAGACAAGTTGGATTTATTAATTGAAGGACTATCTAATCGAAAAGTTGTTTCATCTTCTAATTCCTTGGTGGGATTAAACCAGATTTGGGCCTGGACATTAAAAAAAATTAAATTAACCAATATAGTATATTTAATCAATATAATAGCTTTTTAATAAATTTACCTCTTCAAAATCATTATTATAACTTTAATATAGAAAAGCCTAAGATTAATCAGAGTCTACAAAATAAAACATATTTTTTTAATGCAATTAAAAATTATCTTTAAAAATAAATATAATATATTTTAAAAAAAATTGCCTGAAAATTATTTTTTTATAAAAATCCCTTTATTTGAATTTAAAAATATAAGGATGTATTTTTTATTTTTATAGTTATAATAAACAAATAAAAATATTTTATTGTTTTATTTATAGTTATAATAAATAAATAAAATATTTTATTGTTTTATTTATATTATATATATAAATGTAATTATTTTTTTGACAATATATGAAACAAAAAATAAGGAAGAAAAAGTAAAATAAGGAAAAGTAAATAATTTTTTTCTCTTTCATCAAGGCAGGGCAGGGGAGGAAATAATATATAAATATTAAATTTAAAATGGTCTGGGCTTTTAATAAATCTATATACAAATGTATAAATGTTATGAGTTATTAATACCCACGCTTAAAAATATGCTAATATGTATTCTCTTTGAAAAATTTAAAAAAACGTTACTAACTTTTTTATTATATTATATAATATAAAGTATGAATTGAGAAAAACACTAAATTTTTCCCTCAATTAATCATATATACCACGTTTTCTTTAAAAGTCAAAACAAATTTTTGTTAGACTATTTTTTTAAAAGAAATTAATGAATTTAGTGTTAGATGATATGGGTGAATAATAGAAAAGATGACGTTTCAATGTGAATAATTTTTTTTTAAATGAGTTGACGAATATCTAAAATATGACTAAATGAAAGAAAAATTAATTCAAAAGTTGATCTATGAAACTTAAATTATCTAAAAATTTTGGGGTATAAAAAAATAGACATGAAATATTCAACTATTTAGAGATTTATAATATAAGATGTGGAGAATTATTTATTTTTATCGATTTAGATGAATTAAAAAATCTGTATTTATGTGCGGGAGGAATTTTAGGGGATAAATCGAGGAGAATTATAGAAAAGAAATTAAGGGGGGGGGAGGGGGATTTTAAGGGAAATATAAAAAATCGGAGGACTCATTGGGGTGAAATAGGGGATGGGGGGGGGGGGATTTATTGGGGAAATATCGGGGGAATGGGGTAAGTATTGAACTGAAATATGTATACGTGGGCTGAAGGAGATAGTGTTTGAAATTTGTGTAAAAGTTTTGTCACAACGACAAACTTGTCATTGTGCATCAAAACCTAAATATAAAAATAGAAAACAAATATATATATATAAAGGAAATTAATAATAATTAGGAATCACGAAATCATAAAATCAACTTTAATTCTTTATTCAAAATTATAATAGTAAACATCATAAAAAAAATAAAATTAAATTAAAAAATTAAAAGTAAATTTTAGTTAAAATAATAATCCCCTTTTCGCATCATAATTTCTCCATTATATATCCTTTTTCTTTAATCAACATTTACATAGTCTCCCTAGCGAAGAATAACAAGTTCTACATCCCACTTGTTAAAACTGTTAAAGTATGAAAAAATCTACAAATCTCACGCGTTTTTTTCTCATTTACATAGACGGGGATATTTTAATAAAACATTATTTTTGTTTACGATTTGCATAATGCATTTTTTTGTAAAGTAAAACTGCAACACCCTTCCACTTAAGTTAGACCCACCAATCTGCGAATAATCAATCTTCTTTCGATCTCGACTTATTCTTCTTAATTTTTGCTGTCTTCTAAGTTCTAACGAAGGCTTTGTCGCTTGAAATTTTTGAATTCTATCTGTCGCTTGTCACCCTGTGAAACGATCAGCTTTTTATCGCTGTAAGCCACTGACGAACTTGATACACGCCTGTTTTCCACTATCCACGATTGATAACGATTATCGATGACATCCAGTTTCCTTTCCTCTCTGGTTTTTTGCTAGTCTGTCTTAATCTTTTTTACAATTTATCGTAGCTTTCTTATCAAGACTAAAGTCTCGGAATAATTGGCTATTATTGGTCAGCGATTAACGATTGCAGCATAACGTCTTGACCCTCTTTTCTATCAATTTGCTTGTTTTCCCCCTTTCTCTTGTAATTGATTGGTTGTTGCCTCTAATTCTTGTAATCGTATCTATCTTTCAGACTTTCGGGTCTTCTACGACAGTTTGTCCTTGCTGAGATATCGGGTTATCACATCTAATCTACTTCTACCTAAAATAATCTATTTACATAATTTATCTCCTCTAAACTAATTCTGCCTTTAATAAATGGCGTAAATTATACTAAATCTTAAATTTTATAATACGTAGCAAAATATAATAAATTATATAAATATATCACATTCTATCACCCCTCTCCCCTTAATGAAGCCTAGACCCATATTTTCATGAAAAATTTACTTGTATTTAGCTATTGATCTCATCTTCTTTTCAGCCATGTCTAAATTTATATCTAAAAATCCTATTCTAAAATATATATCAAAACTTTTTTTTACAAAAATTATCATTGTGTATTTATTTCCTCATGTACTCTTTGACACTCAGTCTTTAAAAAACTGCTGAAATATATAAATCTCTTTTCATACATACGTTGTTGAGAAATCAATGACCTAATCATAAAAGTTTTCATACTTACGTTTATGAACAACCTCTTACTTCTAATCACTATGGTTTTCACCCCACGTCTTTGAAGAACTTATGAAATCTAATCATTATAATTTTTCGCACAACCGTTGTTGAAAACTGATATGTATATTTCTAAAGCATGTTTTTCCTTTTGTATTATTAGAATAATATTGTATGATTCTTCTTAAATCTTATTCATGATTCAAAATAAAAATCCGATCTCAAATTGAGCTCGATTGCGGCATAAATTTTCTAATGACGAAAAGCCGATTCTCTCTATGAAGATTTTTTGGTTAATCTACAACCTAATATACTAATTCACATTAATCCTTGAGGCTGTTTTATCTCTCGCAGCCCTTAAAATAAAAGTTAAACGTAAATCTTCAATAAGAATTTAATCAACTATTTCCTAACAATAAAGTTATATTCTAATCTTATTCACCGAATTTTTTAATTATTATATCTCAGCAACCTATTAGTTAAATATTAACTTTCGCAATTTATGTTTCTATTTCTTTGTCAAAGTTATTTCTAGTGATCACTTGATAATAATTCTAAAATCTAAAATATCATAGTCTTTATTAGTTTCAAAACCTTTGTCTTTAATTTTAGATTTTATATTCCTACATAAACATAATCTTAACCACATAATTTTTCCCTTTCATCTTTATTTACATATTTTTCTTACGTTCTTCTGGAATTTTTTTTTTTTGTATTAGAATACAGTTTGACACATCTCCTTGTTGCCGGTCACAGACTGAAGGTTATTAAGGGCCGGTCTCCTCCGCTCTTCGGCACCACTGTCACAACGACAAACTTGTCATTGTGCATCAAAACCTAAATATAAAAATAGAAAACAAATATATATATATAAAGGAAATTAATAATAATTAGGAATCACGAAATCATAAAATCAACTTTAATTCTTTATTCAAAATTATAATAGTAAACATCATAAAAAAAATAAAATTAAATTAAAAAATTAAAAGTAAATTTTAGTTAAAATAATAATCCCCTTTTCGCATCATAATTTCTCCATTATATATCCTTTTTCTTTAATCAACATTTACATAGTCTCCCTAGCGAAGAATAACAAGTTCTACATCCCACTTGTTAAAACTGTTAAAGTATGAAAAAATCTACAAATCTCACGCGTTTTTTTCTCATTTACATAGACGGGGATATTTTAATAAAACATTATTTTTGTTTACGATTTGCATAATGCATTTTTTTGTAAAGTAAAACTGCAACAAGTTTAATATATTGGGATAAATTTTTTAAGAAGTATGGGTTGAATTTTAAATATAGAGATACTAAAGAGAATACAAGATAATTATTTCGATGTTAAAATTGAACTATTTCCCTAAGTTTACAATAAAAATTAATAAAACTGCGTTTCGCGACTCGAGTTGGTAGAGTAAAAAAAAATACAATATTTTCAGAATAAAAAAAACTAAATCGACCCATTTGAATGAGTTGGGTGTGGTTTATTATTTCGACCTAACCAAAAATTTAACAACTCATAAATATATTTAAAAAATTTGGACTTGTGAATTAATTTGACCTATGCCTTATTGCCCGGAGCTTGCTTTATGTCGTTGTAAATAGTAAAAACATGACTTTTACTTAATATTAAAAAACGCTAAAATTATAGACGTTAGAAAGCATCTTTTTTTAATATTTTGTAATCTAATAATAAATTCATCAAAAATTTTCTTAAAAAAATTAGATTAGGGACGCTAATTTTTTTAAATTAGTGGAGTAGCGGCGTTTTGACAACAAATCTGGTTAATAATATATATGTTTTTTCAATAATTTTGAAATAATCAATAATTGTCAAAATTTCTATGTTTTATACTTGTTTAAATTTTATAAAAGTTTAAAAATATTACATATTACAATTTTCAGTTTTCTTTGTTATATCTAAAATAGTTCAAAAAAGTTAAATATTTCTATAGTACATCTTTATTAATTTTATTTTTGCATCTTAATAATATATATTTTAACCTATTTGAGTCAAAAAAAAATCAAAAAAGTTAAACAATAACGATTATGACAATTTTTACTTTTCTATGGTTTATCTTTATTGGAATTTTAATTTGACATGTTCACAATAAACATCTTTACCATTAAGTTTCAAAAAAATTTAAAAAAGTAATATAATAACGATTATGACAATTGTCACTTTTCTATGGTACATCTTCATTATAATTTTAATATAACATTTTTACAATAAATATCTTTACCATTATGTGTCAAAAAAATTTTAAAAAGTATAATAATAATGATTATAACAATTGTCACTTTTATATGG